TCTTGTTATTTGTTTATATATTTTATTTTCAGATTTTATTTTACTTTTTTATCAGGACTCACTGCAGTGTTTATGTCGATGCAATATTACATATGCATGAAGGAGAGGAGATGCTGAGATTTTTAAATTTTAAAATTTTTTCTTTATTTTTAATAATGTTTTGGGTTTCATTTACGTTCTTTTTGTTTAGGATTTTATCACTTTGCTTTTAAATATCCCACTTTGTGATAATAGAAGATCTGCCAAGAGAAGATGTTGTAAGAACCTGGATGTAAATTTACTGTGGATGATCTAGTGTTTAAAGCCCTTTCTATACATCTTAGTAAATTGTGTTCTCTTTTAATTAAAGCAGTATTTGTTAAATCAAAATTATGGCCAGATTCTAATGGTAAGCAACTGATGCATTGAATATGTTGTGTTTTGTAAAAGATCTCTTTTGTGTTCATATAATCTTTTATTTAAATTCCTTGAGGTTTCTCGGGTGTATTCCTGGTGGCAATTATTACAGGTGACAGAGTAAATTCCTCTTTCATGTTTTAGCTTATTATTATTTTGTTTTGTATTAATTAAATTTTTTATTGTTTTAGAAGTAGTTGTAATAAATTTTATATTAACCTTAGATAAATTCTTTTCAATTGTACTTGTGATAGAGTTGGTGGATAAAACACAATATTTGTATTTGTCGAGTTTGTCAGAAAAGTCCATTCTTCTATTTTTAGATATTTTATGAGCCTTTTGTTTTATGTTGAATATGAGATAATTTGGGTTTTGGAGGAGCTTAATAGTGTTGTCAGTGTATTTCACCTCTTCATGTAAATATTAAGTGCTACAAATTCCGAATGCTTTTAAATAGAATCTGATGATTATTCTGGATATTATTTTGTTGTTATGATGAAAATAGAAATTTATGAGATCATTTTTATTAGTTGATTTGCACTGGACACTTAGTTTTAGGCTATTGCCACTTCAATTTAACATGATATCTAGGAAATGTAAGTATTGTTTGTTTCTATTTGATAAGTGAATTCTATTGTATTTTTAATATTAGTTTATTTACAAAATCAGGAAAAGTAGTTTTGCAGAGATATATTAATAAAGTGTCATCAGTATACCAGAAAAATGTTGAACATTTAGGGAAAATATTTTGCAAAGAATCGGTTTCATGATATTCTAAGAAAATACATGCCAAAACTCTGCTTAGATGTGACCCAACTTGTTAATCCAAATTCTTTTTATAAAAATTATTGTTAAATAGCATTGATTGGTGATGAGACAGCAGATTTTTATATTAGCTATTGGGAGGGAGAGTTTAATTTTTGATTGTGTTAGATGCCTTTTTATATTAGCTATTGGGATGGAGAGTTTAATTTTTGATTGTGTTAGATGCCTTTTTATATTAGCTATTGGGATGGAGAGTTTAATTTTTGATTGTGTTAGATGCCTTTTTATATTAGCTATTGGGATGGAGAGTTTAATTTTTGATCCTGTTAGATGACTTTTTATATTAGCTATTGGGATGGAGAGTTTAATTTTTGATTGTGTTAGATGCCTTTTTATATTAGCTATTGGGATGGAGAGTTTAATTTTTGATCCTGTTAGATGACTTTTTATATTAGCTATTGGGATGGAGAGTTTAATTTTTGATTGTGTTAGATGCCTTTTTATATTAGCTATTGGGATGGAGAGTTTAATTTTTGATTGTGTTAGATGCCTTTTTATATTAGCTATTGGGATGGAGAGTTTAATTTTTGATTGTGTTAGATGCCTTTTTATATTAGCTATTGAGATGGAGAGTTTAATTTTTGATCCTGTTAGATGCCTTTTTAAAAGATTTAAACAATTGTTAACAGGAACATTGGTGTAAAGGGATATAACATCTGAACTCAACATGAGTTTATCTGTCATATTTATTCCCCCTTAGTTTTTCAACCGGGTTGCCTGAATTTTTAATATCTGGGCTGATTGTTCCAAGGAGAAGTGTTAAAATGTTTCTTATGACTTTTGCCAGTTTGTTGGGAGCATTACCAATACCTGATATAATGGAGCACATTGTAATGCCTATTTTGGGTTAGGGTTAGGGTGTGATATTCAACAAGGTTATACCATGATTTGATTTCATTCTCAGTTACTTTTCTAATTACTCTATTATTTTTTTTGGTTTCAGTAATTATTTTGTGTTTGTTTATTTTTTATGTGTCAATATCATTGAGTAGTCAATTAATTTTATCATTGCATATATTCTTATTTGTAATAACAATCCCACTCCCTTGTCTGAAGAGATAATGTGGATTTCCTTATTTTTTACAAGGTTCCATAGTGCATTTGAGTGTCTCTGTTGTAAAGTTCTTTAATTGTTGGTATCTAGAATGGCAGTAATTATCCCTTGAGTGAAGTTTTTGATAAATTCTGTGTTGTTTTGTCTATGATTTTTAACTATTGTATCAACTAGGTCTCCTTTATGAATTCCAGTGGTGAATTTTAAACCAAAACTAAAGGTTTCCAGTTCATTATTGGATAGATTTATATCTAATAGATTCACTATTATGTTTGATCATCCAATGTCTTTCCATTTGTTATTGATATATAGGGTGTTGAGTTTATGTTGTAATTTGTTGATTTGATTGTTGCTTATATATTTTATTGTCTGTTGTAAATAAAGTATTTCCAATTTTAAGATGAATATGTATTTCTATACATTTTCATCTCTAATTGCTAGATCATTCTCAGTAAATTTACATCCAGGTTCTTACATTTCAGCCATCTTGACAGATCTTCTATTAATAATAACAAAAGTGATGAAACCATAAAGAAAAAGAAAATAAATGAATTTGACTAGATTATATACCCAAAACATAGTATAAAAAAAATTCTATTTTTGAGCAGCGACTGTTTTATGTTTAAATGCAATCTTCAGAACATCATGTTCTATGCTTAATATTGAGAACTTTTACCTATAAATATACATTTTAAAATTATATTTTTATTACAAGTTATATAATAATATATATAATTTATATATTCATTTGCATTGTGTATATTAGGTCCACAAAGAAAGTAAACAGTTAAATTTTGAATTTTTGACTTCACTTATCAGAAGTGATAACTAGTGACAATGAAAGAGATGAATAAGAAATGTGATTGCTGGTAGGAAATTATATATATATATTTTTTTTTTTTGCAATCAACACCATCACTTGATAAGACACCAGAAGTGTTGAAACAAAATGGCTATTTTTGTAGTAATGTTATAACATGCATACTTTATAATTTTGAATAAATATTATTTGCTCTACTCTGTATTGATCATTCTTTTTAGAATAGTGTTTTTGGTTATCAGAATTTTATTCCATCTGTACCAACCCTGTACTTATATATATAAATATATATATAAATTAAATAATATATTTGTATGAATATATTTCTTCAAACATTATTATTAAAAGGATATTTAGCAGACATAAATTATTCAACAAAACTGTCAACAATCAAAAGATTAATTCCCTTCTCCAAGTTCTCCACCGCCTTAACCAGATATTGAACTCACACTCATTGGGTCCTGTCTTGAGGACACATGGGACAGTGGATAAAGGCGTTGGTTAGATACAGTGACAGGATCCAAAGAGTGTGAGTTTAATACCTGGTTAAGGTGGTGGAGAACTTGGCAAGAGGAATTAAACAGGAGATAACTGATAACTAACATCCATTAGACATGGCACGTGGAACTAGAACAGTCTACCCCAGTGAGTGAAATAATGGGTTCAGTTTGACATTCCAACCACCTGAAGAAGGCCGAAACGTTGTAATAAATATCATATGGCAACAAAGATGAGGACAATAGTCCGAATAATGTAAATAGTGTGCATAATACCTCATCTCCGAAATATAGACAGTTTGAACTGTTATTAAAATTTCATCCCTTCATTGACAAAGATGGAGATTATGTTGAAAAATATGTTGTGTAAAAAAAATGTTGTTTTTTTTTTTTTAATTACAATCCTGAGCGTAAAGCTTAAACCAAATCTACCTGCTGTTGCTTCACCCAACCTTCTCTTCAGGTGGCTACCACTTTCTCTTCATATATGATCAGCCCTATTTGATATCATTGTCTTGCCCATAATTATGACATTTTTTATGTTCCTCCAATGATCCAATCTTACTTTTAGGGGCAGTTGATTCTACCTTTCTTTGCTTTAAATTGCATGCGATGGAATACACACAGTTCCTGGTTATTTTCTCGTCTGTGTTAGGTTTGATTCAGCAGAGATTTCTCCGGCGTGTTAAGCTGCTAATTAATTATCCCGATGCTGTATGAACCGCAGATCTTAATGTTTTCCAATAAAAATTTCTTGACGTAAGGAGACAGATTTTGCTAGTTTTTTTTTTATGTTTCTTACATTAACTTCGTTTTTTGTAAGAGAATTTTTAAAAATCTCAGCATTCTCATTTGATTAAAAAATAATACGCAAAAAAAAAAAAAATGCCCGTTAGTAAAGTTCCTTCCATGTCATTAGTCGTTTGAAGATAATATTTTTTGAAAATAAGTAATTATTAAATTTAAAATTAAAGTTAAACCCAAACGTCTTTCTTTACGCTTTAAATATTTAATAAAAATAGGAAAATAAAATAGTTTTTCCTTTATAAAAGAAAAGAAATAAACTCTCAAGACTAAGCAAAATAATATAAAAGTATATTAACATTAACAATTATTTTTAGAGATTGACAGTTAAAAAGGAAAGTTTATTGTAGATAAACACGAGAAAAAAAACTGTTGACGAAAACAACCGAGCAGTTGAAAAAAAAGAAACAAACAAAATATTGGTTTACACGAAGATTGCCGAATGGTTTCACCGGAAAGTTCCGAGTATTGCCGAGTGTCGTAACTGGCGCTTAGTTTGAATTGATCAACGAACAGAAAGCAGATTTTGAAAATACGTCGTTTATGTTCGTCTTTGCTTATTCTTGTAAGAAATCGTGAAATCCTCCACTTAAAAGATTCAACCATGGACGAGGAAACACGGGTAACTAATTGGTTTATTTAATGTAACATATGCAAAAATATTTGCAGCGCTTTTATTTGTATTTTTTTTCAATGACGACGTTTAAAACTTGGCGACAATTTCCTTCTTTCTTTCGGGGGCTTTACTTAGGACGGATTTACAGCTGAGATAATTTGTTTTTCTAATTATTTATGTTGCATAAGCATTTAACATTTCTGACAAACCTGTCAGATTTTCTCTTCCTTTTCAGTGACATTTGAATTTTTCTTTTTTCATATTCAACTTTTTATGATTTTTGTTGATACTTGTTAAAAACATTTTTGTGGTAATCTGTAAATTTCAATTTTTTTAAGGACTGTTTCTATAAATAAAGTAATTGTTTTTAATTAATATTGCTATGGAAAATATTACAAAAAAAAAAAAAATACAAAGTTTGTTAAAACTTGTTTTATTTAATTTAAACTTTTTTAAAAGTTTATAATTTACTCATATTCAACATTTTTCTTATTTATCCGCTCTTGTTTTAAAAATGAATTTGCTAAAAATGCTGAACGATAGTTTTTACGAAGACGACGATTATTATTGGGATTGTAAGACAAACAACAAAGTAAAATTGACTGGTCCATCTACTTCTACCAATTCATTAAATTGGTCATGTTCCTTGAGCTCTTCACTTCAACCGGACACTTCAACGTCCACTTTTTTATCCTTGCCTTTAAAACCGGTTCAATCTTCTTCCCCAAACTCCAAAACCCAGACATCCTCAGCTGCCTTACCTCACATCCTCTCAGAATCCTTTAATTCCTCATTTTCTTCGAGTAGTGTTTCGCCTCCGAATTCCTCCATTTCCTCGTCCGCTAATCGCCTTTCGACGTCCTTTTCTCTTTCCTCTGTCGTCTCCAATCAGTCTTCTTCATTATCGCCAGACCATCAGAAACACCGACAAAATATCATCCGCCCTGTCTCTCGAAAAATAATGACTGTTGCTCCTGGACATTCTCATCAGACTAAAAATAATGATTCCTCTTTTATGTGTCAAAATCATAAATCTAATTTTCCGCCTTGCCATAAAAGAAATAATAATTGGCTGTTACCCCCTTTGGATCCATCGTCAGCTGTTTCCAGGGAAAAGATTTTGGTGAGAATTTTTTCTTCTTCCTCACTATTGTGGTTGGTCATTAATAAATTATTTTTAATTTACGATTTGACACTTAAGTGGCGGTGTGTTTTTTGTTTTTTTCTAAAAAAAACATTTGTCTTGCACTTATTAATTTAAAAAACTTAGTTGTCAAGCTTGCTTCCTCACCTTTCCTAGAATTTTCAGACATGTTATTTTCATTTGGGACTCAAATTTTATTATGTATTTTTCTTAAATCATAATGAATAGAATGATTTTTTTTTTTTTTTTTAAGCAAAGAAAGATCGAGGAGTATATATTTGATAGGTATTTTTTTCTTAATGTTACTTGACTAATTGTTGTTATATATAACTTTTCTTTTGATTATTGAACTGTATGTTTAAAAATTGAAACTTTCATTTGCAAGTAATATTTTTAACAGTTTGCGAGTTGCTTACTGTCACCACCAGTGTTGACTTATTATTAAGAAATACATGAACTCTCTGAAAAGTTTTTTGTATGTGTTTGTTTTTGTTTTTTTTTTTTGTTTTTTTTCCGAAGTGAGGAGCCCTCACGACGCGTTATGTCTGTGCATTATCTGCCAAAAATGACAATCCTGTTGAAACTTTACTTTGCACACTGTAGCGATTTTCCAAGTGTAGCTTAGATGTGACACAAGGCCGAAAGTATGGGGCACCCAGTGAGGATCGAACTCACTACTCATTCGTAATTGTGCTAGCCAGACAATGTTGCTAACCATTACACCGCCTCGCACACTGTATATCTCGAAAGCCGCCTCACAGTAGTTTGACATTTTAGGCTGAAAAAGAAAAAAAATCTGCCTTCCCAGATGGTCTCTAACTGCTTCAGTTGTTGATTACCATTTTAAAATGACTTTTTTAGTTGGAGAAATTAAGTCGTTTTTGCAAATAAAATATCAAAGTAAGCCTGCCTCCGTTAATTCTCTTGAAAATTTAGCAGTTAGAAAAACAAATTCTGAGATTTCTTTTTAAAAAAATTCATTGATTTCTAAGTTAACTTGGTTATTTCTTTATTCAGTCCAGAAATATTTCTTTTATAAAGCGTTACTCTTTCCACTGGAAAGTTTATGTAAACACTTCAATGGAATTTTCAATCATTCATTCTCTAGAAAGTATGCATAATTTCTAATTTTTTTTTTTTTTTTTTTTTCAATTTGTATCTATTTTAGCTAAAAAAATACTCAAATGCAAGAGAGAAGGGGGTGACTTTTTTTTTTTTTTTTACAACTCGCCCCAACCTCCATGGCTTTGCCATTGACAGTTAGAAAAATAGCGCTTTCTAGAATTTGGTTTGTGTAAAAGGCGTGACTAACTTTTCTTGTTTCTTCAACCTTTTAATTATCCCAGGTAGAAACACACACTATGCAAAATTTACCCTGAATAGCTCATCCTTCTTATTGTGTTGTGAAATATAAGCCATTGGCAAATTTTTTTTTTTTTTTAAATCATTATTATTCCTAAGTAAGGATAAAGTACTCAGCTTCTCAAACTTCTTATAAAACCTTTTTTTTTTTTGTAAAAGGATTTCAGGGATTGGAAACCTTCCACTCTTGTTAGATTTTTATTTGTGTAGCACTATTCAAGGGTCTTGTCTAATATAGATTTATTTTAAGCCTAAAATGATTTATGCGTTCTTTTAACATTTTTTTCCACTTTGTCATATTGAACATCTGACATTTTGAGAATTGCAGTCTGAACACTTGATAAGGATTTTCCAAGCATAGCTTAGATGTGACACAAGGCCGAAAGCATGGAGCACCCAATGAGGATCGGACTCGCTTTTCAGTAGTAACTGACCTAGCAAGACAAGCTTGCTAACCATTACACCATGACAAGGTGCCCGACTGAACACTTGATAATTCTATGGATTTAACTGTTCTTGGTGTCAGTTATTTGACACTGCAGAAAAGTGGGTTGATATCTGCAATAAATTTCTTAAATACTTAGTATTTTTATTTTTTTTTGTCATCTCAAGTTTGCTGTGTTTCTTGTTTTGCAAGTTAAACAGCAACCTACATTCTCTTTGGGTTGGGCATTTAATCAGCAACAGTGTCAAGGTAAATTGCTCATTGTTTCCTCCTCCTCACTGCTGGGGAACAGTCATTCTTTCATTGCAATAAATATAGAAGATAAAATAAATGCATTTAGTATTTAAAAAAAAAAAAAAAAATTGTATAATCACTTACAGATGTTGGCTAAAACAATGTTATAAACGTCTACAAATAGTGTGGCAATGGGTAGGAGGATGTTGCTTGGGTTGGCCATGGGCACTCATTGAATCTTGATGCTTGGATTTGATAATCATTGAATTCCATTTTTTCCTTTCCCGATTCTCTAAATTTAGTAGCTTGCTGATTTTAAGTTGCATTTTGTCAAAGCTAGATTTCGTAAAATAAACATTTAGACCTCTACAAGATGCAAGTCTCACTTCTTTTTCAAAACAAATGTAAAAACCAAAAAGAATACGTGATGCTAATTTAGATTTATGACATTGATTTTAGCCATCTTAGTTAAAATGTCACTGAGAGAATTTAAAATTGCTTAAAATTCTCAACTTTAATATTGACAATGAAAATGTGTAAATTATTTGTATACGTTAACTGTATACAAATTAACAAATTTATACTTGTCATTTTTTTAATCGTGGTTTAGTCAGCTGTTAGAAAGTAGAAATGTTTTTTCCTCCATAAAGGAAATTGTCATTTAAAGCCATTTGTTTTGATAAGTAATTTTGGGAGATATATAAAAAACAAGAGTGGTGATGGTTGAATGCAATCTTCGGGCCACTTATGACATGGCTTGAAGATTGTGTTCAAGCAAAAAACTCTATTGGCATTCAGTATTGAGCTTCGAGTTAACACTTGTGTATGTGTTATATATCTTTAATATAAAACTTGAACATCATGTAGATAATGTTCACTTTTAAGGAAAATAGAATTTTGTACTGACAAGTTCTTGCATGTTTTTGTTGTTTTTATTATTTCTTTAAAAGAAAGCAGTTAATTGATTGGTAGATATATTAAATGTGGTAAAATAATTTATCTGAAAGTGTACAAGCTCTCCCTTCACACATACCGCAAAAGGAAATTGTTGATTTGTTACTTATGAAAATGTTGCAAAATTTGAGTGGATGCATCTTTTACCTGAATGGCATTGTCAAATTTTTAATTAACTTTAACATTTTTCATTTATTTGCAAGAAAATAATCTTTAAAAATGAGACCTTAGTTTTAATTTTCACATTCAAAATAAATCACTACTTATATATATATATATATATATATATATATACCCACCTCTTATTTGTTGGTTGAAATATGAATTTTCAAAAAAAAACTTTAACAATCACGATTCTCATTCTTCATTAATCGTTTTAAAAATGTTTTCATTTATAAAATATTTATCTAAACATCATTGAATGTCATTTGATAATGTTTTAGAAAAAAAAATGTACAACTAATGAAAATAAAATATAAATATTGCTAAAAAAAACTTTTTTTTTTTTTTTTTTTCAATGACATTTTAATATGCTTAAGATATATGTGAAATATTTACAATCTCATTTATACAAAGCATATTTCTCCAATTCTTATGTAGAATTGGGTGTTGAGAGTTGAAGGATGATGTGAAAGTAACCTTTTGAATTTTTTTTTTTTTTTCTTTGTGTCTCTATTTAGCAACTCATTGAACGAACAAAGCAAAGGAGAGAACGTTTGAAAGAAATAAGTGAAACAGATTTGACTGCAAGAAAACGTCGGCCACTGACAGAAGACAATTCTGTTAATATTAAAGCCCCCTTGGAAGATGGTAAATTTTGAAATTCATTTGCTTGCTTGATTTATCCAGCTTAGCATGTATCACCATCTTAGTAATTGCCAATTGAAGCTATTTTTTCTTACCCTCACCAGTTTGATGCAATTTAGAGAATGCAACTTTTCTCTTGTATTAAAATCCCCTTTATATCTGCTTTGACGGCTATTTGGTAGCATTTCCTTACCAGTTGTCTTTGATACATTTTTGCAGGGACCACTTATTCAAGTGTATTTTTAGAGGTTATGAGGAGTTCCTAGGATCCCCCCCCCTTTTTGGAATTGCTTGATTGTTCCAGAGTCTTGACTTTTTGTGTAAATTTATTACTTTTTCATGTTTCGGAAATTAATAAAAATTGAACTTTAACTCCCTCCCCCCTTCTGCATCCTATCAACAAATGTCACAGATAATGAAAATCAGGTTAATGGTCTCAAATGTTTGGCTTTGAATTTTTGAAGCATTGTCAACATCAAATTTTAGTATTTCATAATTTCAGTTGCTTTCTATGACAATTATTGATATTTTACAGCCATTAATAAAGTGTGCACTAAAAATAAGTAGTTCTACTTGAGACTTTTATCTCTTGCTATAGGAATCCCATCTTGCTATGATGAATGTTTTAACCAATTAAACATGATCAGATCTTAATTTATTTCTGATCCATGTTTACTAATAGTTCTAAAATGATGGCCAGAGTGATTGCAATGAATATCAATAAGTTAAAAATGAATAATGATTGACCCCCCCCTTTCTTTTTTTTTTTTTTTTTTTATAAAAGGTTGCTATTCTTATTACATTTTTGTGAGCATGAATACAGGTCATAACTTCCTTTGGAATTTGGTAATGTTGATTTTTAAAATCAATTTCATAGAGATATTTGGATGCTTCTCACTTGTGAAAGTCCTGATCATTCCACAAATTCTGCATGCAGTGGTGGTGGAGGAGGAAGGAAGTGGGGTGTCAAGTTGGGTAGCTGATAAATTTTTTACAGATTTTCAATACAACAGATTTTGTGCAACTGTATCAGCCATACTTTGAGCCTAACAAAACTAACACAGCCAAGTAATTTGGCAGTAACCTTTTTGTTGTAACTCTTGTTTTGGCTGCACTATTTTGATTGTTTATCTTCATTTCTGCATCCTGTTGGCCACTATTGTGATTAGTGCATGCAAAGATTGTAATCAAATAACAATCTCAGCTGTTATCACTCAGTGGAGTCATCCAACCCAATCTGGATAGTATGGTTGAGTATAATTTCTTTTTTTCTTTTTATTAGTCAACTGTGTTGCAAATCACTTCCAATGGTCATCTACTAAGCTTTAATGCTTTGTTTTCAATTATCCATGATTAGAACTGTGAATCCTTCACAAGCTGTTGTCTAGTTTGATCCTTCCTTTTCTGCTTTATTCAACAATGAAATTTTGCAGCAGATATATTCCTTAAATAATTTGAAATTGTGAAGACTGATAACAAATTTTTACTTTCCTAATTTGAAAAGTTTTGAAAACATCTTTTACATGCACTTTTTTATTACCAACTAAATAGAAAACTAATGTTGCAGTAAACTATAATTTCAAATCGACAACAAATCCAAGTCAAGGTAGGTGGTAAGAGGTCAGCTTTAAGGTTTGGTTTAAGTTGTAAAATGATAGGTCATTCCCTCTGTTATAGAAATTTGCAGAGCTGAATTATGAAAGTTTGAACCTTGACAAGAACTTTCACTTGATAATATTTTAAGTTTTACATGTTTTGATTGGATTTACATCTCCGACTTGCTTCTGGCTTGATCTTTTTTTTTTTTTTTTTTTTTTTTTTTGTCCCTTGGCATGAATCTTTTCAATGAAGTTTGTTTCTTGTTTGCTTTGCATCCTCCTTTTCTGCTTGCTTTACTTTGGCTGTAGACTCTCCTAAACGCCAATGTTTTCGAGAAGAGGAACAAGCCATCAAGCCAGATACACCAGCCATCCGCAGTGTACGTTCTCGACAGATTGATCTTACCAGCTCTAAAAGCTTCAACTCTGGTAAGTCTTTGATTTTCTTGTTTTTTTTTGTTTTTTTTTACTTTATTTTCCTTTTCTTTCCTGTCTCTCATTGCTCCTTATACCTTGCTCTCCCATTTTTTTTTTTTAGTTGCTTGGCATTGCATTTATCAACACTTTATTTATTTTTTATTACTGGGTTTTAAAATGTGAATGACAATGTCAGAATGTAAAGGACTGTCACTGATATATCTGAAAAACTTTAAACATTTCAATGTGTGTGTTTGTGTTTTTTCTTTTGTGCTGTATTAAAAATTAATTGAAATTTCTAGTTATTCAGTGAGCTTTGTAATCATAAACAGTCAACAAAAATGATTTCTGCTACATGTGGATTATTCTTGCCTTTCATTAAAATTTCTAAGAAATTCAGGAATATTTACTTTTAAGAGTCCTAAATCAAACATAGGGTTCATATCAATTTTACTTTAACCAATAATATACAAAAATTGCTAGTTTTAATAATCAAGATGGAAGAGACACTTGTTTATGACCATTTGAAAATATGAGAATTTTTTTATTTTTTTTTTTTTTTTTTTGGTGTTACTGTCTATAGCTAATGATGTGATTCAGGTAAATTTAAAGAAAGACAACTAGCTATTTAAATAAGCTGTTATATTACTAATGTTGCCATTCCCATTTTCTTTTTTTTTTCTTTTTTTTTTATTAAGGTGATTCATAGAGCAAAGGGTAGTCAGCTAAATGGATACAATTAGGTGCTCTGCACTAGGAAAAGATAGATTTCAAATGTTGGGTTAGTCCTGGATGAAGTATTCTTACACAGAATAAGAGGGGATTTTTTTTTTTTTTTTACATTCTGCATAGTGCAAGAACTGACTCGATGAAAAGCTGACATTACAGTAAGTACAATCTGGTGTATCAGCATCAACACTATGATTCCTGTTGATAGCGAGTCTAACAGAAGATAACCAACTACAACTGCAGAATCTGGATTTTATTTTAATTTTGAACATTATACAAGTATCCATCATGAAAGCCACAGATATTCAAGATAGTAAAATGTTGACTATATAGAAAATGAAGCCATTTCCTTACAAACTCCATTACAGAAGTGGCTTTATTTCTCAATTGAATAGTGGAATTTTATGATTTAAGAGCTATGTCAGGATCTGAAAAATGAGGAATCCATTCATGTAATATGCAAATGTGCCTAAAACTCACTTCAGAGTTGCCATTTTCATGGGAAGATACCAATGAAAATGGCTGCAACCTTCATTTGTCTGGTTTAACTAATCCATCATTGATTTCATAGCCAAATCCAGCTTTTGTTTTTCTTAACTGAAAATATGGATTGTGAATGCTTTAATAAAAAGGTGACATGTCTTTATTGAGCAACTTGAAAGAATATTCTCCTTTATGTTCTACTTAATCCATACCTGCACTTGTAAAAAAAATAAAAATAATCAAGATAAAGGTAATGTATTCAGGAGGTTCTCATCATTAAATTTCTCTATAACAGGATTAAACATTTACCGCCTCATTAATGACACCAAATGGTATTTATGGGAATTGCTATCTGCATTCATTTGTTAATCACACAATGGTACTTGGTACTCTTTAAATGTTGAAAAAATATTTGACAGATAACTGACAAATGTTGCAATTTTTGGTAACTGATGTGTCTTGAGCTCTATATTACAGACAGTACAGATATACCTCACCCTATGTCGTTAATTGGTTCCAGAGGTCATGACTTAAGTCAAAATAACCACACTATAAACCACAAATAATCACTCCCCATTGCTTATTACACTATTTATATGTACATACAGTGTTCTGAATAAAATAATCTACACCTTAACTTCCGGTGACATTGACATGCTTAGCATTAGCATTTGCACTGGGACTTTTCTTCAGAGCCATGGGCAAAAATGTATTCTTAATTTATAATGTAAACAAGTCTGACAAGTCAAAATTGTCGTTGGAGTGGAAAACAACGCATGAGTGCCACCTGTTGACAGGAATTTGAAATAAGAACATCTGCTGAACTTTATTATGCTAATTTTTTTCTTTTTGATGATTTTATGATTATAATATTTTTAAAATTTGATTTTATGTATTGTTATTTTAGTGTTTTGATGATTTTAATACTTTTTAACGGTCTATGTAAACTTGAGCAAAATGACCTAAGATGAGTTTTATTTTTCATGTATTATTTGAGAAAAACCGTAAGTAGAGGTATGACTATATTGAAATGGTCTACACATGATTTGTTATGGCCTTCTAACTCTTCTGTCACAATTATGGCTTGTGCTCAATAATTGCCTTTGCTAACAAACATTCAAATTCTTGAGCAATCAACTACTGGTCAGCAACACTATACACATGTAATCTAATTACATTTGATCTCATAATTAGCTTCATGTCTGTCATCAGTTGTGGCAATACTTATTTCCAAATGAGTGTTTCAATACATATTGGTATATCAGTATAACCCTGCACTTTTAACTGGGGGAACCTGTTTGGAAGCTGTAGCTAATATACAGCAGGTTTAATTTTTAGATTAAGTATCTGTTAGTTTGTAGTCTATGAAACTACCAGAATTTTGCTGAATCAATTATGGCTGAGGCTGTATTCCCATTTATCATTTAGGAATAGGGGAAGATGAGTGTTGGATAGTGACTAAAACTGCAGGTAACTTACTATGACCAACAACAGCTGTGATTTTTCTCTTTTGGCTGACATACTTTTGTTCAATGTTCAGTTTTGCCACAAGAAGTGCCTTCATTATTTTGAGTAATGATGAAAATTACCACCACTTCCAAAACCCAACATGGTTTCTTTATCATAGCAGCATTGAATGAGGTGGAGCCTGTTTGCAAAATGGTAGCTGTTATTAGAAATTATCATTTTCCTGTAGGTAGGACAGCACTTGACTGGATGGTTGCCTGAGCACAGTGCTTTGACTCCTTTTGAATATACTCAAGTGCACCCTAACAATCTGATGAAGTTCTTACAAGCAACCACTGATATTCTGACTGTACTGGTCTGCAGTAACATCCATAAGCTGACAGTTGTTACTCAGTTTGTGATGTCCTTGAAGGAATTTATGTTCATCTCTAATTGTTGTGGGATTAAAAGATAGTGTATAAAGATATATTTTTTTTTTTTTTTATATGCAATGTTGCTATCAGATGCTGCACAATCCAATATGAATTTGTATACTGAAGCAAAGATTTACTTTAGTTTATTCACTGTGGTTTATTTGGGACCTTCACATGGATTAATAAAGTTGGTTTCCAGTTTTGATATTCTTCGTTATATTTACTATAAACAATGGCTTTATTTAACTTTAGCTAGAACATCAAAAGATGACAAGTCGAAGCTTATGCCTTTTTTATTTGCAGATTAAACATTGATTTATTTTCTTATATTTAAGGAGGCAATTGAAAAATGCAATAAATGTACAGCAGATAGTTTCAATCTGATTGAAATTGTTAAGGATTCATTCAAGACAAGGAGTTGTGATATATTGATTCTTATGTTGCAGAAGATGAGTACATTCCAGTTCCTGTACCAAGAAAATCTTTGTCACAAGAAGAAAACCGTAATCCAAATCCAGAAAATAAGAGACCAGAAAGTGTCTCCAAATTTGCCATGCTTGCTCAGAAAATAAATTCTTGGGATGATGATTATTCTTACCACACCATCAAGTGAGTTACTGACTCATCTTTTGAAGATGAAGGTTGCCTTTTGTCTTATTTGCAAGTTTATTTGGCATTAAAGAATTCTAGTTACTTGAATTGCAATACAGAGAAAAATAATAAACTAAATGTTATGAAAGTGGGTGTCTGTCAACATATAAATATCACAATTAAAAGGTTATATACATACATATATACATGCACACATTCTAGTTTCACTTAATGTTTTAACATTCACTTGCAAAATCTCTTAATTGAAGGGTATATGTATGCCTTGCTTTTTCATTGTATTCCTAATTCCTCACGCTTATTAAATTTCCGTCAAAATATTCAATTTCTTGTATTTTTAAAATTTTAGTAAAATGAATCTTTGCTTGGGTTTTCAAAGAACTTTTATAACATGCTTACATTTTTTTTTTCCCTCTTAATTTCAGACCAAATGAAATAGCTTCAGCTCCTAAGCCAACTATCATCAAGGATGCCACTTCATTAAGGTCGAAGTCCCCTGCACCTATTGCACCCCATACTAAATCCCAGGCTCTACCAAATTCTCTATCTAAATCACCTGCACCCATTGCTCCTGGATCTGCTTCTCGCTTTAAATCACCTGCTCCCATTGCCCCACAGCCTCAATCTCCAGCCTCTCCACAGATTCGTAATGTTAATGAAATTGATGACTTAGAGGCTATAGTTGACAGAATGGCTCGGCAGACCAATACTGTGTCACCAAAAAGAAACTTTAAGTCTACTCCCTCTTGTGACCCCATTCAGGGAATATCCAGTCATATCCCTATTAACAGCAAGGGCCTGAATGAGTCTCTTTCCAATGGAGAAGTTACGGATGATGAGCCAACAAATAAATCAGTATCTGAGAGGTTAGCTAAGTGGAATAAGAAAGTATCAGAGACTGATGTAGCATCTGATTCTGGGCCTTCAAGTCCAGTAAAGTCATCTTCTGGTAGTCCCAGCAAATCTGGCATCAATCAGAATTTGTCTTCTAGGTTGGCCTTGCTAGAGAAAAACCTTGCCACTTCCCCAGTCAAGAGCAATAAGTCAGCAGTGCCAATCTCTACTGCAGCTCCTTCTCCTCTTAATAAAGATATATCTTCTATTCAGTTTACACCAGGGCCTCCTGTCCAGTGTGCTGCAGTGACCAGGGTAAAAGAGAACAAAAATAGACGGGAAAGCTTTGAGCCAACCCGGGAATCTGTCTCCAAAAGAATGGCTGACTGGCAGAAAAAGGTGGCAGCTGTTGATAATGCAAAAGAGAAAGAACCAACTGCATATCCAGTAAATGCCCGTATGTCTGCTTGGGAAAAGGTGACTTGCAGTGGCAACACCCCTGCAAATAAGATGATTAAACCCCAAGGTAATGTTCTACCAACTGCTGGGCGACCTCAGACTAATGTCTGTACAATTCCTAGTAAGCCTTTTGTACCCAAGTCACCAGTAGCTGCTCGAAAAATTGAGGTATCTCCTGTTAAATCTGACCCTAGTGTTGGTGCAAAGGCCCTTTCACCTGCTAAGGCCAGCTGTGCTATGAAAGCTATTCACCAAAGGCTGTTTGAGTCCCAGAACCAAAACACAACACATTCATTAGCTGAAAAAATTCGTCAGGAAAGGATGGCTGAGCTGAAGGTGATTGAAAATCGTTGGCAAAATGGACTTTTGAAAGAGCATTATGTGACAGTAAGTGCAATGTTAAAAATTTTTTTACTTAAAATCAGATGACTTAATGCAATTTTTAAACTCTTAATTTGCTGTCTTTAAAATTGTGTACATTAAATGGTACCATTTCAAATACTTTCCCTTCTGTGTTTGACTGCATGTTTTCTCTTATAAAATATTGCTCATAATTAACTTTTTTCCATTAAATTCCAGAACAGTGATGTTGAATCTGTTTCTAATGAAGGACCAAGTAAGTTAGACATAGTTTTGTCACTTTTATTTTAAATCTGTTGACGTAGACAGTTTTCAGTGAATTTTTATTTAAAAAGTCTTCTATATGAGTAACATGAAAGATAATACTGTATACAGTTCTAAACATGTCCATTTTTCTGATTCCACATTCTTCAAATTAAGACCTACTTTTTGCAGGTTGACATTAATCTTTCTCATAACAAAAAATTTGCAATGGCCTTAAATGCTGAGAGAAATTATTACTTTGAAAGCAGTAATAATCAAGGTCCATTGTTGTAGTGATTTTCACATTGACATTTGTCCAATTTCCTTGTCATTTGCTCTTAACTTGTTTTAGAAATGTTTGCATAATGAAGACCTCATGTTTCTAAAGGTTCATGCTATAACTTTTTCTCAGGTTTGTAATTCCTTTTCATTCAAAAGGAATAAATTTACTAAGATTGCTTATTTAATTTAAATTTTTTTTATGTTGAAAGCAAATTCAGTTTTAATAATTTATTACAATTTCTTTTGTAGCAGAAACTTGTAGTCCATCTCAAGGCTCAGCCATTTCCAAGTCATCTCCTCCTCGATCTGATTCAGTTATTCCTCCCCCTCCACCTCTTCCTCCCATCTCAACTGGCTCTGCTACAATTCCTCCTCTGACTAGCACTACTATCTCAATCTCTGCTCCTACTGCCTCTCCCTCAACAATGATGACTACAGCTGGGCCCACAAGCATTTTCAAGCTGATTGCTTCTTCCCAAGCTTCTCCTGCCATTAAGAAAACAGGTGTACTAAACACAGGTAACACTACTGCTGCTAAAACTGTGATTAAACAAGTGCGATTTGAGGACAGCTTTGAAAGTTCAGATGATTGCACGGATTCTGTTGACAAGTAAGAACTTTTTCGTTTATACAATAAATATCTTAGTTTGCCTATTTGTGGTACTACAATGACTTCAGATTACTTTGAGAGAGAAATGTGACAAGGAAATACTTGTGTAGGTCTAGTCTGGCTTGGCTTTAGTTGTGTTGTCAATAAAACATCCATTCAGTCTTCAGGAAAATTTTTTTTTTTTTTTCTTTTTTTTAAGGTCCGAGTGATACTTGACAGCTGATAGATTCAATCTGTAATTTCAGTCTGTTTATTTTTCATCCAACTAAGACCAATTTATCCTTTGATTTTTTTTTTTTTTTCTCTCTCTCAAACTATTACCAGATTCTACAAGATATGCTCTGAATTGTAACATACAATGATTAATGACAAAATATATATGCAGACTCAGTATCATCCAATTCACCATTTTGCAAAAAAAAAATTGTATTATTTATATTTGTGAAGATATTTTAAGATTAAAAATATTGACATAAAAATCATATTTTATGCAAAATTAAAGTACTTTTTATAAAGATTATACACATTTAGTGTAAATATGTCATTGACTCCTTTCTGGGCTTTATCAATGAGATTTAAACAATTTAGGATATTGAAGTTGTGCTTTGAGTTAGGTTTGTATTTTCGGTTACTTCAATACACCTCTGAAACAAGGCAGCTTTATCAGAACTTGCAGCCTCTCCATGTCTCACTACACTGTGAATGCCAGCTCTCTTTTTAAATTTTTCAAACTTAAATGCATTTTCATCTTCAGAAAACATGCCTGGTACAGTGCCCTTGCCTTTGCACATGTAAAATTTTCAGACACAGAATCACCTCATAGCTGCCTCTCATGCATCCACACAAATAACAGCTTAACATCTTCTAGGGCTTTTCGATGATGCTTGGTAATTATGCTAACTCCCTTGGCTACATCAAGCTTTTTATTTCTATCTTGTTCTTTGGGATAGTGCAAATTGTTGATGCTGAATGTCCATATAGATTGGCAAGGTCAGAAACACAGGTACCTTTGTGCTTCTGAATGATCTCCTTCATTTGTTCGGATATTTTTTTTTCCCCTCTTAGTAGCAACCAGCTTCTTGGGTGTCATTGTAGGTGATAGAAGGAATGTTTGTGATTGGCCAGTGTTGCTTTCATTGTCAGAGCTTGCTTTGTAGAATATATGCAATGTGTGGAGTCTTTGCACAGAAAACAACTGTTTTTTTTATTATCATTTCATTCTCTACCTTCATGGTGTTCACATACGGCCAGCATGCAGAATGAATTAGAAAAAAGATTTAATTGCAACACAGTATAACACTCACACATGGATCTTTTTATTAAGAACTTGTTAGGAACTAGCACAATTACCTTTTTCTTAGGTATGGGCAAATATGGGTGTGTAAATAATTTAAAATTTTGTCATTTTTTTTTCACTTGCATGCTCTCAAGAGTTTCAATCTTGCTTCTTTTTTTTTTTCTCCAGTGGTCTGAATACATCACCAGCAGATGATCTCAGCAGTGACAATGAGGCTGAGAAGACCCTTGAGTCTCGCCGTGACCTCCTTTCTCCAGAAGAGGAGGATGACGCTGATTATACCTACAGTAGTAGTGAGGAGAATGAAGCTTTGGCTTCTCAAGCTGCAACCAATGCACGATCTTGCATAGATTCAGAAAGTGATGATGTCAGCATCAGTGCTTTTGTTCCGGAAGCTGTTCGTCAACAGTGCAAATTGTCTTTGCAAACTGAAAGCTGTTCCAATATCTTGGCACTTGCACGCAAACAGCAACAGCAGCAACTTTTGGATGCTAACAATAGTTCATTTGATAGTATGGAAGATCAACACGTTCAGCAGGATACCTCTGATGACAGTGATATATCAGCTGAAGGCACAAGTGTTGATGATGCACTTGATGAGGCTTTGGACATGGATACTGATGACGGAGTTATGGAGAAAACTCCAACCAACTATTCAGCTGTAAGTCTGTTTTTTTTTTTTTTTCTCTCTCTCGCTCTAGTCAGATTTGGCTTTTATCATTAGGTTGGAATAAAGACAAATCAATGTAGAATGGTAAATACATTAAACAATCTGGAAAATTTCCATTTTGACATGTTTTGCTTATGAATCGACTTCATGTACATTAAGCCATTGAACACTTTTACTTTAAATTTTAAACATTAGGTTTTAAGTAACTTCAACATTTTTTTTGTTCATATATTTAACTTAGGGCATTGGTTGGCAACCTGAGCACTATTGCTCACCAATGATCATTGTTTTCTGTTTTTCTTTTCTATTTTCCCTCCCTTACAATGGGTGACCACTTGATTTGAAAGCATATCAATGCTAACTGACCATTTCATTGTAATTACTGTTCAGTGACTTTCAAAAGTCAACTGTCTGTGCCAACTCTGGGAATTGTGACTGTACTAGAATTTCTTCAGATTGAGAATTGATGGCAAATAATTTGGAAAAGTAAAAAATTTAACATTTTCTACATGCCAGATTCTTTTATAAATCAAGTTTTCAAAGAGAAACAAAGGAAAATATGAACTAGCATGCCAATCGTGAAATAAGGTTGGTGTAAACAAGAAAAATGAACATTATTTTTTTTTTTTTAATAAACTGGTACCAAAGCATAAATTGCCAAACTGACCAACTCACACACACACACACACACACACACACACACACACACACATTTGGTTGGATTGATGTGAGTTTGTGACCCTGTGTTAGCTCTATCTCTGATATTGAGCGCTTTCTAATAAATACCACGCATATAATATACACACACACACACACTTTTCACATATATAATCTCAAGGTTTGAATACGCAGCTCTAAATAGTCTACCCAAAATTAGCTTTCTGGCATAAAAGTGGTGTATGCCATAAAAATGACAGCATTTGAATATTAATTCAATAACCAAGTAGACAATGACTGAAACTTAAAGTAGTTTGAGTTTTATGTATTTGCACACAGTCTTCAGGCAGCCAGTAACTTGCAGTAATATACCTTATATGCCACTGGATAAGTACAATTTGACAAGCAAACCGAACTCGCACAGTGGGGAGGGTAGATCATCCAGCCAAGATTTAAAATGGCAAAAAAATGAAACAACCTGGAAAGGCTTGCCAGTATAGCAAAAAGTGCTCAATAACAAAAGAAACTGGTGTCATGGTACAGGAACTAAAGCATTAAGCCAAAAAATGTGCTCAACTAGACCAGACAACCAAATTCACATTAGAGCATATATGCATTTTAGATTTATATAAAGGTTAAACTGGCACAAGTGCATTGAGTGTTTAATTTTAAGTCCCTCTCTTCTTTAAAATTCAGTATGTTTTACCATTGCATTTTTGGGGGGCATTGTTTACATTCTGTTTGGTAGACTTCTGCTTCTGATGTGAAGTTCTTTGTTTAGCATCAATTAAATGTAAAATGTATCATGAAATATTTTTATCTTCTCTTGTAGGAATTTTCTTAATGATAAAAAGTTAAGTGAAAAGAAACTCTATCAATACTACTTCCTGTTTATGTTAAAAACATAAAAACCCTTAAACTTGAATGTTTCTGACTTCCAGGCTAACTTTGGACAAAGATTCATAACTTCTAAGCTTGACATTGGATTTCAAAGAATTAAAAATAAACTTTCCTATTTTCTCTTTCTGACTGGATCACAAAGTTCATTAGCATTGTTAAATCTTTATAAAATTGTAATGAGTTCCTGTGATAAGTTATTCACTTCTACCAAACTGCATTGCCTTTAATACAACTGTCTTTTATCTATTATTTTTCAATGAAATACATGTTTTATTTCAGAACAAACGTGGTAGTCACAGTTTGGCCACATGTACAGACAGTTGCTTTGATGAATCAACAACAGATGATGATGTTGTCATGAGAGACAGAAGCCCACTTGTGTACAGTATCAGCATGTACAGGTCTAAAAGGTCAGTTTTTAATGTGCATTCATATACAGTGGTGAGGGGAAACATTCATACACATACAAATCTTTAATTTATCATATTTCCAACTAAAGAATAAACATACTTTTCATATAATCAACTGTACACAGATGCATAATAAATAAATATGCATAGAAAAAGGAAACAAAAATTAGATTTAATAGAAATAAATCCCATTTATCCATTTTGGTAGGTGAAAAAGTATTTGTACAGTACAAAAAAGAATACATAATCTTCATTTAATAATTTGTAGAATAGCCATTATTCACTTCTACAGCAACCTCTTGTAGGTCTCAATTAATAATTTGCAAATTTTATTTGGTATTTTGTTCCATTCTTTGCATATGGTTTTCAGATCTGGGATGTTTGGAGCTCTTGATTGGATTTGAATTTTCAAATAAGGCCACAAATTCTCAATTGGGTTTAAATCTGTGGACTGACTTTGCCATTTCTTTGTAGATTAAAATTTTTTTTTTGTTTTCTATGCATATTTAGTTATGCATCCGCGTATAGCTAATTATAGGAAGACTAATGTTTATTCATTAGTTGGAAATTGTGTGTATATATATATATATATATATATATATATATATATATATATATATATAAAACATAATCAACAAACTGTATTTAGAAAAATGACAAACTGGAAAGGTTTTTTGTGATCGTTTTATCTTAGGATTTCATCAGACTGGGCATTGTTGACATTGCCATGTCTACATGTGAGCATGAAATTAGACACGGCAGTTTCAAAATTTTTAAGAATATCTCCCCCCATCTAGCCAAAATCTTCTGTATTCTTTTTTTTCATCACCTTTTTTCCCCCTGACTATCCCACGCTGTGGCAATATAAAATCTACCAAGAATGGTGATATATTCTAAGAACCTGGACACAAATTTGTAGATATGGTAATGTTGTCAAAGTCCAGTTCGATGAAATCCTAATGGATGAAATGCATCACAAAAAAAACTTTCCAGTTTATCACATTTTTCTAAATATATGTATCAATTTTTTCTTTTCACTGGTCTCATCTGATTCTTTTTTAATGCTTTTGTAGGTTTAGCAACAATGTGAATGTAACCCCAGTTCAGAAAATAATTCGTAACAGTAAACCAGTGAGCACTGAGGAAGAACTGGAATCTGAAAGCTCAGATTCCCCACCAGTAGACAACAGAAAGGCCATTCTGGATAGAATTAAGGTGGGTCAGACCAGAACTGTTTGTAAAGTATTACATTTCCTCCATCTTTCAGCAACTTTGGCTAAGGCTTTAAGAAGGATTAAGTTTTCCGTTTTTCTGGGCTGCATATGCACCAGGTGAAATGTGATTGATGGAAACCTCAGACAAATCTCTTGTCTTCAATTTTTTTTTCTCTCTTCACCATTTTCAGATTCAGTGCAATCTTATTTCCAAATGTAATTTAATTCATATTAATATGATCATTAGTGATTGTCATGTCAGAATATATTTTGCTTTTCTTTTGTAAAGGAATTCAACAACCAGATTGCCTTAGAACAAACAGTAATCCTGCAGACAAGCAACGCGTTGAACCAATGTTGTACAGAGGGTTCGTCATTCAATGGATCTACTCAGCAAGTGGAATGTCACAAGCTATTACTCATTGCCTGTAAGTTATTTGTTTAAAGAATAATACAAATCTAATGATTCTTTTTCTACTGACAAAGATTGTGTAATGTGTATGGGTTGGGCTTCTTGCAATTCAAAATAAGTTTTGGTTGACATATTAAGCATGACTTTAATTTATTTTTCTCTTCTTTCTATATTTTTGTTTTTGTGTGAAAAATGAAAGGTTCAAACGTTGCTACAAGTTTTTCTAATTTCATAAATTTTGTTCTAGAAAGAGAGTTGGGGGTTGCTCTTAAGATCTTAAGTGTTTGTCCCTTAGTGTACATAAGTACCAATAAAAAGATCTTTTGGAAATGTAGCCTTACATTAGAGTAAGGACTTCCACTAAATTTTCGATACCTAAGGTTTAAAATTAATTTTTTAAAATGTAAAACATTTTTGAAGCTTTCTTTTTAGCTTTAATTGAAAGCTAAATGATTAAATTTACTATTTCCAGTAAGCAAAATAATTTCTATTTGAAATACAGAGTATGTTGATTGTAGTCTCAATTTTTTGGGCCACTTTCAGAAATTTGACACAAAAAACAGTTTGTTCTTGGTTTTAAAAATCTTTCACAAATAAGATATTTTTCTGAAACTTTATTGGAGGAATATTAGCTGATTTAAAGTATAATTAATCGGATTTGAAAAAAATATTTTCTTTACGTTTAAAATAACAGGGATTTTTTAAACTAACAGTAGCAGTGATTGTTATTGTACCTGTCATTGTCACTTGTAGATCACTTAACAGGCATTGATAAGGTGTTGACAGATTTATTTGCTGGTCTACAGATAAAGTATCTGTTAAAACACAATTTAAAAAAAAAATGACAGCTGAGATCTTTATGTAATTTTTAAGTACTCTTTAGTCTTAAATGGAAAATTTTTTTTTTTTTCATTTGTGAATGAGTCCTGAAAGTATCATTAAAATCCAACAATTACTAGATTTTTGTAAGAATTTCCAAATCAATGTGTTTTTCACCTGAAGAAAGCACAAAAACACTAATCATATTAGGCAAACTGCTGATGAAAAAAAAAAAAAAAAAAATTTGACCAAAATTTCAAATATACTAAACAGGATTAAAAATTAAATGAAATAAAATATATATTTTGGCCTTTCCTTTTAATCATAAACATTTTGATGTTTTTAAGTTTGGGGCTTTTTTTTTTTTTTTCAGAAGCTTAAAATTTGAAACCAGACAATTTGGTTGGGGACTTTCAGCTTAATCCTGCCCCCAACGGAAAAGAACTTTTTTACTTTTCTTTTTTTTTTCTCTTCTCTTTTCTTTTCTTTTTTTTTTTCTTCTCTTTTCTTTTCTTTTTTTTTTTTTCTCTTCTCTTTTCTTTTCTTTTTTTTTTTTCTCTTCTCTTTTCTTTTCTTTTTTTCTCTTTTTCTTTTCTTTTTTCTTTTTCTTTTCTTTTTTTCTCTTCTCTTTTTCTTTTTTTCTCTTCTCTTTTTTTTTCTCTTCTCTTTTTCTTTTTTCTCTTCTCTTTTTCTTTTTTTCTCTTCTCTTTTTTTCTTTTTCTTTTCTTCTCTTTTCTTTTTTTTCTCTTCTCTTTTCTTTTTCTCTTCTCTTTTTCTTTTTCTTTTCTTTTTCTCTTTTTCTTTCTCTTTTCTTTTTTCTCTTTCTTCTTTTCTTTTTTTTTCTCTTCTCTTTTTCTTTTTTTCTCTTTTTTTTTTCTCCTTTTTCTTTTTTCTCTTTTTCTTTTTCTTTTTTCTCTTTTTCTTTTTCTTTTTTCTCTTCTCTTTTTCTTTTTTCTCTTCTCTTTTTCTTTTTTCTCTTCTCCTCTTCTTTTTTCTCTTTTTCTTTTTTCTCTTCTCTCTTTCTTTTCTCTTTTCTCTTCTCTCTTTTCTCTTCTCTCTTTTCTCTTCTCTCTTTCTCTCTCCTTTTTTCTCTTCTCTTTTTTTTCTTCTCTTCTCTCTTCTTTTTTTCTCTCTTCTTTTTTTCTCTCTTCTTTTTTTCTCTCTTCTTTTTTTCTCTCTTCTTTTTTTCTCTCTTCTTTTTTTCTCTCTTCTTTTTTTCTCTCTTCTTTTTTTCTCTCTTCTTTTTTTTCTTTTTTTTTTTTTTTTTTTTTTTTTTTTAACCAATGCCTAAAATTTTTCTCATGAGATAATTTGTAATATTTTAACCACCCTGAGCACTTATTTAAAAACCAACCTTCATTCCTTTTGATAAACAGGTAAATAAACTTGACATAATTTTTGTTCCTTGTTGAGGTATTAGTATTTATATACATTAATGTATTATCTTTTTTAAAATAGGCCAGAAGCGGCGTGCTTACCTTGCAGAAATTCAACGGCTAAAAGAGACAAATTGCCTTGATCATCTCGGCCACGGAACCAGAGGCACTCTCACTGTCAGTGACATCCGGTTGCCACTAAAGAAGGACTTTGTGAGCAAGATGACTACTGTACATGGTTAGGGATTTAGCATTTTCCTTATCAGTTGCTTTTATAGAAACTTTGCTTCAAATTGTTTTTTTTTTGAGGTGGGGGTGCTGACTCTTGCAATATTTTTTTGCTAGTGCATCAATTGCTCATAGGGAGAGATTCTTTTTTCAAAAATTGATTTTTCTACTGTGACCTACAATAGCCATGTGACAAGAGAATGTTATTTTAAAAGAAGAAAAAACGTCCCTTGACATCACTAAGTTTTGCTCTTTATAGTTCACTTTTATTTTTTATATATATAATCTTAGTTTTTGTGCTGGTAATTCAGTTGGTAAACTTTTGAGAAATTGCAAAAAGACAGTTTTATTTTTTGTGTACTTATTTTATTGTAACCTCTGTCTATGATTTTTCAGACTTTATACTATGCAATTCTGTAATTGTTCTCTTGGTAGTTTTTGGTTGGTCAGTTCTGTCTTTATGAAGTATAATGAAACTAAATTAAAAACATTCAGGTGTTTGAAGAAATTGGATCCGTTATAAACATTGATGATATTGTGAAATGTCCTCATTAATGTATTTTCTGTCTCTTTTCTTTTTCTTTTTTTCTTTTTTAAAGATATGAATGTGTTCTATTATGTCATTTTGATCCGTAATGGTCCTCAAGTCTATGCTACCCAGCTCATGTCAACTCACGATCCCATGGTCAGAGGCAGCCTCGATTTCCCAAATATGATCAAACTTAACAACATTACATCAAAATTTGAAGTTAGTTTAGAACTCTATGAAATGGTAAGTGAAGATATTCAGCTGAAAAAATTGTTTGAGAACTGATAGTTTTTTTTTATTCATTTTTACAATCACATCACCTGTACCACCTTGAAAAGTTACCAATTTAATATTTGATTGTTGGAAGACTTTGCTTTTTCTAATATATTTGGAAACGGTTGGGGTGATTTCTTTGGTTGAAAGAGACATAAAGAGTTTGAAAATTCTTACACATACATACATATATATATATATATATATATATATATATATATATAATATATTTTTTTCTTTCAGAAAATTTGCAAAGAGAAAAGCAAAGATAAGAAAAAGAAACAAAAGAAATGCAAGGGGATGCCATCTACTCCAGGTGAGAATCATGCATTTGTAGCTCAATATATGGTAAGAGAAACTTGTGTAGGAACTCTTGGTTGCATATTTAGAATGAACATTGAAAATTTTGTAATCCATTGCATTATACAAACATTCATAATATGAAACAAAGGTTTGACAACTTTTTTTTTCTTTTTTTCCTCCAAGTTTCTATTTACCCCACTGGCCTGAGTGACATACATACAAGCAGCTTCTCACTTACCTGGTCAGTGGTTTTAACAATGAAAAGTATTGATAAAACCAGTTTCACAATGGAAAGGGTAAGACTGAATTTTTTTTAATTTGAATGTATTTGAATTTTTTTTTTTTCTTGTCTCCCAGGGTTGGTCTCTGGATTCTTTGTAAAGTCTCCTTAGTTTTGTTTTTGTTTTGTTTTTGTTTTCCACATTAAGTGCAGGGTTTTGATTCTGTTAAAATCCAGTATTTGACATAAATAAATTAAACAAAGTTCGAATCTGAGACCTGTATATTACTGGGCCTCTCTTATTGTTTTATCTAAAGCTACACATCTGGGTCCTCATGTTCCCTATAGTTTTGTATGAAATATTACAAATATTTTTTAAAGAATTCAGTTTTTATGACTCCTAAGGATCATTTTATTTTCTCTCCTTTTGATCAGGTCCCATATGAATCACCTTTGATTGGTTCAATCTATCTTCGTATGAAATGCATGATGGAGACAAATATCAGTGAGAGAGGCTTCTTGGTAAGTTTTTTCCTGAAAGCTTCAAAATATTTTGATGGGTATTTTAAAAAGATAAGTATTTTTCTTCTAGCAAGAGGCATTTCTTTCAAGTTTGGGGAATTAAAAATCTGTTTTTGCTCATTATTTACTGCTAGCCCAAGATAGTGTGATGAAAATTTGGAGTGTCAAGAACTGAAAAATGTTAAAATCTTCACTTGTATAAAAGATCGAGATAAATGCTAACATTTTTAGCTTGAAAATCTGGAGAATTTAATTCCCACTTCATTTGTTAATTTTATGAAATAGATTTTTAAATTTCTACAAACTCATTTATTTAAAAAAAACAAATGTAGTTAAATACAGAATCAATTAAATGTTTCTATATTACTTTTTCTTTTGTATTAGGGATGAAGATTAATATTCTATTGTGAAAATACCGGTGTTAGAATGTGTGTACACACACACACACACACACACACACATATATATATGTATATATATCTTACCATTTGATATAAGTCAGAGTTCCATGCACACAGCTATCTTCAAGTGCTGATTAGAAACTGACTGTTGTAAACTTAACAATAGGTTAATACAAATATATTAAGACTTTTTTTTTTTAAAGTTGAAAGGAGAAATAACCATAATTTAATTGCATCAAATTTAGTATAAATAACAAAAAATGAGAGAAACTGTAGTTGGTTGCTGAAATCTTGAGTCGATTGACCAATTGTAAAAAAAAAAAAAAATGCTTCTTACAAAACACTGGAGTTGAGGTGCTCATTGGAAAATAGATATAGGCATAAAAATTTGCACAACAAAATATACTCTTACATATCCAAGTTCAAGAATATCATGCAATATACACACACACACACTAAGTAATTTTAGATATTAATTGGAGAGCATCTTCAATTCCAATTGGGTTCATTATAATCACTTATGTGCAATATACTTACATGCACTTATTTATATTTATTATTAATAGTTTTAGCTGTTACTTTTCATCATGCACAAAAAACTTTTCAATAAAAAGCATTAAATATCCTTGTTTCTTTTAATTTTTTTCCCTAAATTTTGTTTTCATGAATTTTTGTCTTCAGTTTAGACAAAAAAAAGATTTTCATTATACTGAATTGGTTTCTAATTTTATACTTTTGCTAATGTTTGAAACTGACAAAATAGGTAATGTGCTGATTTTTTTTTTCTCCTCCTCTTCCTTTTCAGTGAATTAAATATGTATAGTTTGCTGATGCTCTTATCAGTGGCAGAATTAAAAATTTTACGTGGTTATTATGGATTCTACAATGTGCTCTAGTCAATCTGTGAAAATGCCTAAAATGTTCTTTCCTGCTCTCAAGAGAAATTTCTTCATTTGATTACAAGATAAATTTTTTTTTTACTCTAAAGATTTTTTTTCTCATTTTCCCCCAATTTCCTTCTTCCCTTGCAGACCATGTTTGAAGATGTGAGTGGGTTAGGTGCATGGCACCGACGCTGGTGTGTCCTCAGTGGGAACAAATTGAAATATTGGAAATATCCAGATGATGAAAACAGAAAGGTTTGTAACTATCTTCCTCCTAACCAAATTCTCTCTTAAGTTCTTAACTGTTTTAAGCTTTCTACTCACTGTAGAATTTGTGAAAGACTGAAAAAAAAAAAAAAAGGTGGAGAACTTTCAGTGTATAAAAATATTTTAAGAGATTGGAGGCGGGGACTGAAATTACAATGTACTTTCTGAAAGGAAACAATCACCTAAGACTCCTGTTCACTTAATGCCTTCCACCCACAAATTATGACTGGAAAATATCGATATTTTATGAATTCTTTTCTTTTGTATTTGTGTGGTATTGTTTGAAAAAGAAAAAATATCCAGAAATTGATTCACAATGTACAAAAGCATGTAGAATATAGAAATTAGCTAAAGAAATTGTAGCTTTATTTTAATTTGGGTTTTAGATTTTATTTTATTTTTCTTCTAGGTATTTTCTGTAATAATCATTAAAACTTTGTTTTTACATTTGTTCTCATTAAATTTATGAATTGGATTTTACATAACTTTTTATTGGAATGTCTTTATGAAAATTATTTCTCAAACAGGAAAATGTCAAATTATTTATGATACTAAAGAGTTGATTCTAGATTCTACATGTTAATTATCTAAAATTAAATAATATTTTCAAAATATTTAAAGTCTGCCCTCCCCAACTTTCCTTTCCATAAGGTATTGTTTTCTTGTATGCCAACAAAATTCTCAAAGAAACTTATTTAAAGGAAGGCTATAATTTTCTGTACTTAAAATTTTTATATTTCTTTATTCTTACTTTTACAAATATTGAAAAAGTAAATAAGTTGTATGTGGGGTGAGTGATCAATCTTGATATATTTTGGGGGGGAAATTTTAAATGCTAGTAAATTTTGGATAGAATAAAGTTATTCATGGATTCAGTTTTTGATCACTTTATGCTTAAATCATCTGCAAACTTCAAGGGGGAACTGTAGTTGCATGTATTGTAAGCATGGTTATTGGCTGAAGTGGAATTTGTTGTCTTCAGCCTTACTCAATCTCTCCTTACCTGGTTTCCTGGCAGGATCCCATTGGTTACATTGACCTAAAAAGATGTATAACTGAAAAAGTGGGACTGATCTCTAGAGACGTGTGTGCACGACCAAATACTTTTGAGATGTGTACGGTAAGGCCACTTCGTCCAGGTGAAGAGGATACCTTGACTACCCGAAAGCATACAACAATGGCAACTGTACGGTAAGTTGCAATTTTTTATTTTTTTTTAAAAAAATCTTCATCTCCCCGCTTACATACACACAACGAAGCTTTTTTTGAGTTTGTGTGAAAATGAGTTACATTTAATTGCCATTTACCTTTGTCATAGAACAGCTTTTTTTCTATTAAAAAGATAATGACAGTATTTTTAACTCTACTAATGAGTCAATCTGCTTTAAAGCATTTAATCTATTGAAAGTTTAACATTATTTCTTTTAGCCACATGATGTCTGCAGATACAAAGGAAGAGAGGATCTTGTGGTGCAACAAAGTGAATCAGGCACTAGACAATATCCGCTCATGGCAACCAGATGCTTTACGACCAGTCAAGATGAACAATCAAGCAATGTGAACCCACCATAAATTATTACTTGGAAGTTCTCTTCCTGATTATCCCCCCCCTCCACACACACACACACACACACACACACACCTTAAATTCTCTCCAACTTTTTATCTTGATCACCACACCCTCCCAATTGAAACTCAACAATCAAGTTATTTGCTTCCAAACAAATTGCCCATAAATTTTTTTTTTTTTTTTTTGCCAAAAGGGTTCACAAATTCCCTCAGGAGGTGGGGATCATGGAGTCTTTGACACATGTGTAACAAAGGACTTCTTGACATTGTAACTTGTATTTTTAATTTTCATATTTTAATCAGCTCTATACTTTTGGGAATTGCTTTTTGCTACTTACCCTCAAGTATTTGCAACAAATTATTTAAAAAATATTCTTTCACACCAACATCTTTTGAGGAAGTTGCTCTTAACTTTGTACTTTGATGAACAAGCACTAAAATGGTTCCTTACTGAATCTTTCCTCAGTAATGGATTTTAACTTTGAAATAGCTTTTCTTTTTCTATCTCTTGTTTTTCATTTAAGTAGATGCAACTTCCTCCAATAAACCAACCTTTTTGTCACATTTTGCACTGATTTTCCTAAAAGTTCATTTAACTTTGAATATCAAAAATAAACTGAAAGACTTCAAATGAAAACAGCTGCCTCTTTTGATGAAAGAGATGACTGTTGGGAGTGTCTGTAAAGGTTTTGAAATGTCTGCCAAAAAATCTATGTGGCTGTGCAGTGTCTCTTATTGATTCTCTTTCTCAGCCTCTTGAATTTTTTTTTTTTTCCATGGCAGTTTCTGTATAATCAAAAAATACTGAGAATATTTTGACTATGGCTGTACTGGAATCAGAAATAGCAAAATGAGCTTTCATTATTATAAATTTTTAATACAAAGAGAGCTTTACTTGGACTTGCTTTTGAGTGTAACAAATTTTGTATCAATTTCCAAGAATCTTTTTTTTTTTTTTTTTTTTTTTTAATCTGGAAGTGGTATACTTGCCTACCTTCATTGATAAATATGTTGATTTGAAGTACAGTGAACAAGTCTTTCACAACCTTCTTTATTGAATCTTAATGTTACTAAATCCTTACAAGGCTTGGTTATCATTTGACAAAAGTAAGACTTTTATCCAAGCTGATATTGTACGTAAACTTTATAATTGTGGAAGCTACTTGTTCTTTTACCCAAATTTTATATAATTTACTACAATCACTTATATTTAATCTATTTTGCAAATTATTTTATGACTGGGATGAATGCAGTAATTAAAAAAAAAAAAGTATGATTTGGTACATGAAAACTTTGTAATTGACTTGTGAGAAAAACCCAGTTTTAAAGTTGCTAGAAAAATGTAATATTGATAGTCTATTATTCCTTTTGATGACACATTATGGATCCCACCTTTTTGTGGTAATTAATTTTTGTAGTTGAAGAATTGAAAAAAGAAATTACTTTGATCCCCTGTGATAAAAAAAAAAAAAAAAATATATTTCTTTGATTAAATGTCAAAGTTTAAATTCTTGTAATAAAATACTTGTATAAACAACTTCATTTTTGTTTCAATATAATCTAGTAAATTTGAATTCTTTCTATTTGAGCTTTTCTAACAAGATTCATACTAAAGAGGAGAAAAAAAAATTAGCATCTTTTATATCTTTCATAATTCCTTTTTAATAATGTGGAGGCAATAGATGACTACTTCAGTGTAATATGTTAAAATTATCAAAAGGTGCTTTTATTTTCAATGTTGAGGGTTTCTTTTTTATTTATATATATATAACACGCACGCACGCATTTAAATGACAATTTGTGTTCACTCAATTTTGACAAAAACTTTTGGTCTAGAAAATATTTTGATGGCTTCATCCACTTCAGCAAGTTTGGTTTCAAGTTGTTGGTGCCATCTTTGGGCACGCAAGGAGTCATTGCTTAATGGCAGTTTCTGGATTTGTTGCAGCAGGTCAGCCTCATCTGTAATTGTAGGTAAAAAAAAAAAAATTTAGTCAGAGCTCAGTTTCTACATAGCCTTTAGACCAAATTATTTTTTTTTTCACTATTAAACCTATGTAAAATATAGCAATCCAGTATTTTGATAGTTACAAAGAAAAAGGTACAGCCACTTTATAAAAATTTATTTCAAAGTCTATTTCGAGAATAGTTTTTTCTTTCTTTATCGCTGTGCAATTATAAATAGAAAGTATCTTTTTTTAATTTATTTTATTACAATTGGCAAGGAATGAGCAAATAGTTTAAATGCTTATACTCACTTTTCTTCAAAAGACTCAAAGTTTCCGCACGTTCATTTTCAGGCAAAACTCTATGACCTGTAGGAATAGTGGGGTCAGGCAAATTGGCAAGTCTTTCTTGTTCCTCTCTTTCCCATTGAATTTGTCTCTCTTTGAGGCTACAAAAGAAGTTTTTGTTATTTTTGTCATTAACCTATTCAAAATAACAAGCTTATTTCTATGGGTTTCAAAAACCATCTGCCCTTAGATTTTTATTTTATTTTTTTTTTTTTTTTTTTTTTAGAGAAAAGCTAGGAAGCTAGGAGCAAATGAATAGAATGCATAGCAGTTCTAGACAGGAAAAAAAGAGTCATTTCCTTAAAGATACTGGAACAAGGAATAATCTGTTTTATAGAATGTGCCAAAGAGTTTGAGAAGGTATAATAAAGAATTGGTAGCGGTGAACTCAATTTAGAAAATAATTCAGAACTTATACTGGGAGCAAATTGCCTGTGGATAGAAAATGAATTTAATAAATGCAAAAAAAGTCCTATCAGGATTTATTATTGTATAGAGAATGTAAACAAGTCACTTATACTTAGAAATTTTAATTATCTTTCTGATTCTAACATGGATGTTGAAATTCAGGAGGACAGGAAAACAAGTAAATGGAAAGCAGAACAGCGAGGGATAATGAAAACAAACCTTACTCTGAGCTACAACGAATACAAAATTGTAGAAAGCCATGATTGCACAGAAGGATCTTGCATCAGGCCTAAAAATTGTGAGGGTTCTTTTGCCTTGGTTAGGTTTTTTTGAAGTTCAAAGAAGTTTCTAGGATTAGTCATTGGCATATCTTCACTGGCAATCCAGTATTATATAAGCTGGAAGTTACATCATCTTAACACAAGATATGAAAGTTTTTTTGTTTTTTTTTTTTATATATATATATATACACACACACACACACACACACAGTAAAGAAACTCACTTACTATTTGGGAACCTGTCCCTTTTTATAGTTGCGTAGTTCTTTGTCCTGTTTCTTTTTGTAATCCATGTCTTGTTGACTACTGGCTGGACGTACAGGTTGCAGGTTTTTGGTTGCACGGCCATTCAGTTTTATGAAGTCAATATCATGAGTCGATTTCACCTATAAATGAAATTTGGTTTTCAACACTTTCAACATCAAATTCTACATTTGATAAGTAGGTTACTCTAGATTTGAATAGCTTTTATTTTGTCAGCAGGACTTCAATGCTAATTCTGGCTCTCTAAAAATGTTACCCCAACATAACCTTGTAAGACAACTATAAGGGAGGTGAATTTGCTTTCTTCAACATTCTAGTTAAAATCTGTTGCCTCTGTAACATCAGGGTAGCTAGAATAAAAGAAAAAAAAATCCTTAATATAAGGAACAACAGCCACCTTTTTGGAAGTCCTGATTTGAAAAATCTGTCATTACTGAAAATTAAATCATGTGCAGAGAGAAAACAAAAAAAAATGGGAGTCGTCTTCTTTTTCCTTCTGTGCAAAATGAGACTTTCCATAATTATAATGAAATTTGTGTACATAAAATAGGTTAAAAATACTATAAGCAAACAAAATGTAAATTATAATGCTATAATTTTGGCAATTAGGTCTTCAGTATTACAGCTATAGCACCAAACACTAATAAGATTCTTCCAATCTTACCTAGTTCCATGTTTTTATTGGTTCTGTAAAATATTAATTTCACTAACAATCCTAACACCATTGCCATTTTTTTTTTTTTTTTTTTTTTTTTAAGATTAATTGATATAATTATTGTAGAACAGAAAAATGTTTTTGAAAACAATAATCATAACTATATATAATTACCAAACAAATATATATTTTTTTTTTTTTTTTTTTAAAAAAAAAAAACTAAATTTGGCAGTTTTCTGTTCATACTGTGTATGGGCATTTACACATTCAATAAACTATGTGACCATTATGTAAATGATCATCCAATAATGATGACAAATCTGAGAAACTGATAGATTTTATGAAATAACATCAAATTGCCCACTATTTTGCATTTGGCACATTGTAAAAAGGGAGGGGCACAAGAAGTTTTTGGTTGATTAGATTCCATTAAGAAGGAAGCAGAGCTGCTAAGTATTGAGTTTCTACTTTTTAACATGCAAATGAAATATTAAATTCAAACAATGTAAAGGGCTGCACAAGATGGAATTTGTCTTGCAATGGAAACGTATTTGCTAGACAGCTACTTTTCATTACACTGTATAGAGATGATCAAATCATTCTGTAATGTCTGATATGAACACCAAAAGATTCCTCCCATAAAATGCAACCTGGTATTGTTTTCTGAATCAGAAGAATGAGTATAGTGCAAAGGTCAGCAAGTTCATTACATCATTAGCTTCAAACAATTCTACAAAAATTTATTTTTATATTTTCTATGTATTTAATGCTTTTTTTTTTTTTTTTTTTTGCCTCAAAGTTTTTTGAAAACATTTAGGAAACAACAAAATGAATTCTTTTTAGCTTTTAGTTGAATCTGCTCTGCTGATGACACTAATACAAAGATTTATTAAAATATGATTTTATAATCAGACCTAATATATTTATATAGACAACACTCTTTGAGTTTATAAACATGAAAGATTCTATCCAAAAAAAGGCCTTTTGAAGATAATGTTCATTACAAATTAATCATTGAAGTTCTCAGCAACATCCTACTTTCTTGGTTTGAATGATAAGTGTTGACACTATATGGAGAGATGATCACGGAAAAAAAAATTCTTTGCTCATCAATGGTTGGATTAGCTGTTGACTCTGTTTACAAGGCTTTCATTTTTTTTATCACAGTATTTCAACAGCCTTATACAAAGATGAATAAGAGCCAAGTTGAACTCATAACATTGGATTGCACCTTCACATCATAGGAATGTTGCTTGTACATTTGAACTTTTATGCTAAGACAACTTGTTGGACATTATATGCACAACCTTGGGCTTTTTTTTTTTTTTGCGACAAAAATTGTTTCAGCTTTTGTTATTGAAAGAATTGTTGCCATCAAAATTCATTGTGTAAATCTATACCAGAGTCTTTGATGAATTGCACTTGTAGGTAATTATGGGCTGTTACTTCTGAGACCTCAACTCTTTAAACTCAGCTTTGAGCTCATTGATAAATTGCTTCTGTGTTGATGGAATCATTTTCAATTAATATATAAAAAAGTTGCAGTTGTTCTGATAACTCATCTTCTCCCAACTTGAGGTTTTTTTTTTTTGGTTTTTTTTTTTTTGTTGCTTCAAGGAAATTTTATATTTGATATTTAACTTGGCTGACCATTTTCCTTCACCAACCACACAATCCATTCTTTATAAAGAGCACTTATATTCATAAAGAATTTGGTGACACATTTTATTCAAATCCTGTCCTCTAAAAATTTGGTTAAACGAATTTGCATACCTGCTGCAGTCTGTTGTGATATTTAATTCTTTCATGCAAACATATTTAGAAAAGCTGCTTACCTTGCATAAATCACATTAGAAAACACTTGTCAAAACATGGTGATTCATGATGTAATTGTAAATAATATTCTGCCAGACTTGGAGAAAAATTAACTTTTGATATACAAATAAACAAAATGATCTTTAATATATTACGAACTATTCAGCCATTCAAATGGTTTAGATGAATTGTCAAGAGATACAAAGTTTACTATAAAATATTACTCTAATCAATAGTAATTAGTAGGAAGGAAAGCATGATATTCCTCAAGTGAAACTTAAAAAGGTGTAATGTAGTGAGTTTGATCCTCATAGGATGCTCCCCCACTTTGGTCTTGTACCTGACCAAGCTTAATAAATAACTGCCACAAAATTGCTGACTTCTAAAAAAAAAAAAAGAAATTTAGGTAATTTGTACAATATATCTGGTGACTTGTAGGACTTGGTATATTGAAATAAAAAATATTTTAGTTTTATGCTAGATTAGGCTGAATGTAATAAAAAGCTACATGTCAAAGGTACAACAGCTAATTTAAAGTTACAGTGAATAATAAATCTTTAATCAGCAGTCAAAAGTACATGCCTTACCTCTGGCATTTGACTCATAGGTTGAATTGTAAGCTTCTCAATTGGTATTTCTTTTGGGGTAGCTGCTGGTGAGCAGTCAGATAATTTTACTGGAGGACCAGATCTTGAATGAGCTCGGAGGAATTTACCACTGGAAGGACGAGGCGTAGGAGGTTCCTTTATAAATAGGAAGGGAAAACAAAAAATTACATGTGTAAACTCATGTTAGGTTGGAAATATACTGAATCAAGTTAATATTTCTTCTCATTATTGTTTCTATGCAAAGAAACGTTGAATATCAGTTTTAATCTCTTCACAATGAATAAAGTGTGTTTTCCCCTTAAAAATGGTTCAAACCACCTGAAAAGATGATAGATAGAACAAGGTCAGGAGAGTAAGAAGATGAGGTAAAACTTTCATATTTAGTGTCAATCATTTCTACAACAACTTGAGCAATCTGTGGTCTTGTATTATTATGTAAGAGTAACACACCTTTATGATTAACTAATGATGGACACTTTTTGTGCAACAACAATATTTCTCTTCATTAACTGTTTAGTTTTGGCTTAGCACTTCATGATAGATAGCACTCTTCATATTTCACCAAACAAAGCACAATTTTGGGAGAGATGTAGTCCTGATTTGGTGATGGATTCTCCTTTGTCATTTTCATTGAATATAATTATAAAGAACCCACATTTCATTACTGGTGATAATTCTACTTAGGAAAGGTTCAGTAGACAGTCTACCCTTCAATAATGAACAGAGCAACAATTTGATTAAGCTGTGAAACCCATTGATCAATTAATTCTAGGCACTTTACTGAGTTCATGAAATTGTTTTATGCTTGAAATGGACTTATATTGAACTGTTTTGCTAATTTCTGTGCAGTTTGCTTAGGATTTTCCTCAGCTATGATTTGCAAGAGCTCAATATTGACAGATCAAGAGAAATCTTTGAAAGAAAGACTACCCAATGAAAAATGGCTAACCATCATTGGCAAGTCCAGAGACTTCATGCTTCACTTCCATAGATAGAATATTTCTTACTGCTTCTATTGCTAAAGAGACTTTTTTGAATTCATACAGTGATATAAGTTTGATCTAAATGAATTTTAAAAAGTTAAAAATCAATGCAAAAATTATTTAACCATTCTGATATTAAGTAATCTACAAGAGGACTTTTTTCAACTTAATAATCATTATTTCACAAGTCATATTATGCTTTCATTTCTCTACTTTATGAAAAAAATGCAAGTTTTTAAAATTATAAGCATGTATATTCAAAAACCCATTTCCACACTCTTGTTGGTAAAGCTAACATTAATTTTCAAAAGTAGTTATAGTTTGGCTAATTACCCAGTAGTCTCCCCTTATTAATTTCAAAATAAAGTTCTATAACTAGAAGGTGATTTGATATGTAGCTTAAGCAAGTTATATATACTTTGCAAGAACACCCTCAATTGAATAAATATGTATGTCAGAAAAATAATGTAAATATTTATTTTACATCTTTACTGTTTTTAAAATTAAACAACAAAAAACTATATGATATAAATATTGCTTAATTTCTTCTATTTTCAAATGTTAGAATCAATAAGACAAACCTCAGGTAACTTGAACAATTTTGTTTTAATGTGCTGACTCATACAGACTGTCATGATCAAAAGTAATCTTTTTGATTCAAGTTATTTAAAACAATTCTCCTCATGCAATCTGACAACAAAAGTTGAATAAATCTTTTGACTTATGTAATATTTAAGCCACATTTCAACATGGTGTAATGGTTAGCAAGCTTGTCTTGCCAGAGCAATTATGGCTGAATAGTGAGTTTGGTCCTCACTGGGTGCCTTGTGCCACATCTAAGCTATGCTTAGAAAATTACCATAAGGAAGATTCAAAAAATGGTGGCTCATTTTGTAGTAAAAGTGAAATAATGGCTTTGTCTTTACATATAAAAGACAAAGTGTTATTTTTTTTTCAATCACTTCTTACAAAAGGTGTTTGTGTCACAAGAATATTTGACTCAGATCTTATGAGAGTTAGTCATCTTTTAAAACTGACTGAATTCATTTTGCCTTCCAAGTTAAATGATTGAAGAAATCATGACATCTTATATTCTGTGTTTTCCTTGAGAATTTCCCAACCTGATTGTATGAATCAAAAGAAGTGGAAATCAATTTAACCTGTAAATGTTTCTTGAGTCGGGATGGCACTTGATCAAACCTTTTTGATTTCCACACTTGTTTCGGTGGCTGCTCTTTCTCTGCTGCTTTCAGCTTTGCCATTTGCTCAATCTGCTGAACACGCTTCAAATTTTCATTCAGATAATTTTTAGGTTTTGGAACTGGACAAATAAAAGAATGGAATAAAAACAGCTGTATTAATTAAAAAATTTTTTTCTTTTTTTTTTTTTTTTCATTTTTATAGAAGAGAATCAAATTCCCTGAAGAGAAGAAATGAAAACCACTAAGCAAATTAGCAGAGAGTAAGTTTGCAGCTGAACTCCAAATTATAACAAACTGGAAAGAAAAATGAATTTAGTTTGTTGTTTGTTTGTTTTTTTTTTTTTTTTTTACAGAATTTAATTTTTCCACCACACATAGTTCCTTACTAAATAGTTACTAATTATGTCACAGTGATCAAATGTTAGGGTGAAAGTATATATAGAAAGTAATACAAAAAACAAATGTAAGTTAAATTTATTTAAATCTTATTTATCAAAAACGTAATCATGACAACCCAGCAGGAAAGCAAATTTTCAATTCTACAATTGAAGAAAACAAATATAATGTTATAGCATCGGTACAAAAATAGCCATTTTGTTTCAACATTTCTGGTGTCTTGTCAAGTGATGGTGTTGATTGCAGAATAAAGAGTTTTAAAAAGTTCAAAACCAACCAAACTCAGTAGGGGAAACATTGTTATGTAAGCTACAATGACCAATCAAAATATGAGTATATGATAATTCAAAAAACTTGACAACAATACTTAGATATAATTTATTAACGTCTTAATGTCTAAACTAGAGATCATTCTGATTAATTTTTAATTTTACTATAAAATTAAAAAATAAAAATTACAAATTTCAATATTTCAAATTTAACCTTGCATTAAGTTTAAAACATAAGATTATTTGAAGGAAAATATACATATGTTTTTATTTATTTATTGTTTTAATTGAAAAGCCAAATTTTCAGTTAGAGTAAATGCTAATCTAAGGAAATTCAAACATCATAATAACTTAGATACAATTGAAGGGATCTGAATTCAGATGATGTGGGCAGGAGAAGAAGTTTTATAAATGACAAGACAGACATAATCACATCATGATATATAAACATGCACGACACAGGAAATAGAGAAATCTATGTCAAAGAAAATAATATCAGACACATATATATACAATTAAAAGCATATACAAGCAATCACACACACATACACTAATAAAGACATAGACAGACCCATCAAGGTTTAAGCCTAAAAGTATTAATAAGCAAGTACAAGCCAAATATCAAAATTTTAAATACATGCACATACATATGGGCAAAGATATATATATATATATATATATAGATAGATAAAAAGACGGTTTAATTGATGAAATTTAAGAAGGGTATGAATTGAAAAACAATACAAAGAAAAAACAATTAAACATACAAATGAACAGACACAACATATACGCATACACATATAAAAATATAACAGCCAAATCCGCATGCCCAAACAAAATACAATACAGAAAATAAGAACCAGCATATATAGAAATGAAAACACATTTACACACACACACACACATATATATATATATATATATATATATATATGCCCACATATATACCAATATATGTATAAGTACACATGAATACATACATGACAGATATATAAATATACACATAAATAAATGCATGCATGCATATATATATATATATATATATATACACATATGCATACACATAGATATAAATGCAAACATATCAACCTACACACCTACACACTCCTATAAAAACACACAAATAAACCAAAACTCAGGTACTTGTATTTGCACATGTGTGTCTAAGTGTATACACCCATATAAACAGAAGTGGAAACATACATAGTTACTAATTATCATATGTACAGTCCTATCTAAATGACTATAATGAATTCAGAGCCCATTCAAAATTAATAAATAATGAATCTCAGCTGTTTAGTATTAAGTCAACAAGTTATTCTAATCTGAATCACTATCAAACAAATAAAGATTATAGTTAGCATCGATAAACTATTTAAAAATACTAAGTTATATGCATATAAACATACACATACATTACATCAATGCATACACACATATATACTCAAATATATAAATATATATATATATATATATATACACACACACCCACAAACAACTATATATATATATATATATATACATACAAATAAATAGGAGGACTAGCAAATAATAGAAGTAATAACAATCTAAACTTACAAGAATATTGCATTGTCATTGAAAATATTACTACCCATTTTGTAAGTTAAATTGTGAGCTGTGTTTACATCTGCTTAATAACAGAAGAGTGGGTAGTTGGAATTAGTATGTACATATACTGGGTTAGAATTAACCTTCATATAAGATTGAAAAGAATTATATATATATATATATAAGAAAATTTTCCTTAATATTAGTTATAAAATTACTGAAGATATTCTTAATAAAATTAATAATAGTAATAATAATGATAATATAGAAAAAATAAAATAAAAAATAATGGTATTAAAAATAATAATAATAGTCAAACTAATAAATTATAAAATTAGTAAAACACAAGGGAATAATCAAGTACATGTCTACTAAGATTACAAATGTACCTATCTAATTTCATATAAGCATCTGTATACATATATATATAACAAACCTTTTATTATATAGCTTGTGGCCCGAAATCTGGATAAAATTATATTTTACACATTCTATTTCTAACATATACATAGCAATGATAACACTTACAATTAAAACAAAAGGCATCTAATTAGGCAAACAATGCAATAAACACATCACTCACAAATAATTTACATACAAGTACATAAATGGGGGTTCATATATATATATATATACACACACACACCCCAATACATATGCATATATACATCCATAAACATATGTATATAAGTATACAATGAATAACAAATATATAATTTATGGCAAATAACACAATAACTCCAAACACATACAAAAAACACTCTTATATATGTATATAAATCTTATGCTCAAGTCCACATAAACTAAATGCACACACAAATATACACATTCATATATGTATACACATATTCCATAACATCATCCATATACATACACATCTATCTTTTCAACACCCCCATATATATATATATATATATATATATATATATATATATATATACATACATACATACATACATACACGCACACACACACAGTGTAAAAATAAAATGATGAATAACATGGTTTGTAAAGTGTGACTGATTTTGATTTGACTGAAGTAAAAATAAAGGAGGAACTCAAAATTGCTCTTACCAGGTTTGTGCAATTTAGTCATTCCAATGCCATCATCAGTGACTTGAAAGATGAGGCTTTGCATAGTGAAAAGAGCAGAACAGAAGAACAATATGAAATCAGTGAATATTGTACACCTCCATAGACACCTGCAAAGAATCCAAATAAGCAAAAGTAAATTTTAGCAACAATAAAAACAATATTAATAAAAAAAAATAAAACATTTCTTTTCATCTTTATCTATATAACCATTGGACTATGAATAAATCACACTTTACTGTTTTGACAATTACTCTTTTCACTGGTAAGTTTATATTGTTACAAAATGAACTGGGAAACTTTGGTTTCTTTTTCCTTATCAATATTTAATTTGAAACTGTGAAACAGAAATTGAAATGATGTTCTAGAAAATGTCTGCAGTAGAAAAATTGATAAATTTATTAAAAACAACAGGCAAAGAAATGTGCTATTAGTCACAAATATACATATCTTAAAATGAATAGTTGGTTTTAATCCAGCAAATGATTTTAATCAAGTAATTGCTCTTGATCTTCATGAACCTGGTCCTGGATTCTGGTATTTATTTATGATTGACTTGTTTAGTAGATTAAGTATGACTGTTATAATCCATAGTAAAGAAGCAGATGTCATTGTAGATAAGTTTATGCAGAATTTGGTTGCTATTTATGATGTACCTGAAGTTAGTCTTTTTATGAAGACTAACTTCAGGTATGTCTTAAGTTCAACAACAAGACTTTTCAAGAAATGGCTGAAAAGTTGAATCTATCACTTAAAACAACTGCAGCTATTTCCCCATGGTCAAATAATATTGTTGAGCACCATGATGCAATCTTGACAGAAATCATTAAGAAGGTTAAATAAGAAAATGTTATTTCATGGGAAACTTCTACAAGTTGGGCTGTGAATGCAAAGAACTTCTTGGTAATACATAGTACATAGGTTTAGTCAGATAGTGTATGACAGGAATCCAAATTTACCATCTAATATTATCAACAAAACCTCTGGAAGATAAAACTATTGATGAAGTGATGAAAAGGCATTTCACAGGTTTACAAGAAACACGAAAAGCATATTTGGTGGCAGAATAATCAGAAAAAATCCAAAGAGCACTGAGAAAACAAATAAGACTTAAGAGAGAAGACTTCAAAAAAAGTGAAAAGGTGTTCTTAAAAGATGGTGAATGGAAAGGGGGGGCCAGGTTGGATTATAGGAAAAGACAATATAGTTGTGTAAGATATGGAAGCACTTATGTTCCTGTACATGAATGTATACTCAGTTATTCATAATAATAAAACAATTGATAGTAATATCAAAAGTGATGACAATGAAGATACAGATAAGTCAAGGAAAATACAGATGTTGTAGAAAATGGTACTGAGAACAATGACAACTTTCCTAGAGATGCACATCAGGACAGTGAAACAAAAAGATGAAGATTTTGGAGCTACTGCCAACATAGGGAAGCATCTGTTAGACAAGTGAACTTCAGTGTTATTAAAGTTAAGAAAGATCAAATAATTTAGTTTCAACTTGCACAAATGGAAAAGAATGTAAAGCTAAAATTTTTGGACACACTGAAAAAGCATCTACCAAGACAAAGAACTGGTACAATATTGAATAGATAAAACCTAATGACATAAAAGGAACACGTATGTCTATGAATTTATCAACTGTGAAGAATCTGAAGATCAAACAAATGGAAACAGAAGAATTATACATATTAACAATTCATGATTTTTTTTTCAGAAGCAAAGAGAAATGAACTGAGAAAATGAAAAGAAATGAAAGTTTATTTAGAAGTAGAGGATAAAGGACTAAAATGTGTGTCATCTAGGTGGGTAAATACAGTGAAAAATGATGGTGACAAGACAAAGTTAAAATCTCGGTTGGTAGCAAAAGGATTTAAGGAAGATTGTCTCAAAGAAATAACCAAAAATTCACCAACAATCGACAAGTCATCTCTAAGAACAGTATTATCATTCATTGTACAACATAATTGGTCTGTCAATACTATTGACATAAAGGTGAAGAAATTGAACAGGATGTCTACATTAGACCCCATAAGAGGCATCTACTAAAAAGTCTTGGAAATTAAGGAAATGTAGCTATGGTTTTACAGATGCATCACTGCAATGGTATCAAAAGGTAAAAACAATTATGTTAAGACACAAAGAACAGATATCTAAGATTGATCTAGCAATATTTTATTGATCTGATAGGTGCTTGTAAGGAATACTTGCTGTGCACATTGATAATTTTTTATGGGCAGGAGGTGATAGATTCCAAAAAGACATAGTATCAAAAATCAGAAGTATAATTGAAGTTGGAAAAGAAGCAATGAGTCCATTCAAATACATTGGATTGAATGTGAGTCAAGAAGAGATGTGCATCACGTTAATACAGAAGGATTATATTAACAATATAACAGAAGTGAAATCAGACAAAAGGAGGAAACAGCACACTTATCTGAGGATGAGAAGACTGTGCTAAGAGCTAAGCTTGATCAGCTCTTGTGGATTTCCAAACAATCACGCCCCAATATTGCGTTTGATGTGACAGATCAGGCTGGTAGAATTAACACAAGTACAGTTGAAAATTTGAAAAGATTGAACAAGATTATCAAGTAAAATCTGAACGTTTATTTGGAGTATCAAAATTTGGGCAAGAACCTAGAAATACATGTTTTTACAGAAGCATTATTTGGAAATTTGAATAATGGTGACAGCCAAGAAGGACATTTTATAATCATTAAAGAAGATAATTAGAAGATGAATCCAATATCATGGCAATCTCACAAAACAAAGAGAGTAGTAAAAAGTAGATAAGTCAGTTAGACACTAGCTCTATCGGAAGAGACTGACAATGTGTTCAGTATCTCAATGCTCTTAGGTGAGTTGTTAAATAATAATCACCAAAAGATCATTCCTATCAACTGTTTTCTAGATAACAGTGATTTGGTTGAAGCAAACAAATCAACTAAACTTGTTGCAGATATAAGATTGAGAATAGGAATAGCAAGTATCAAGGAAATGTTAGATAAGGGAGAAATTTGTTCAATAACATGATTAAATTGCTGTCTAACTAAAAGAGGTGCCTCCATGATAGACTGTCTGAATAATGGAGAGATTACAGAATAATGTTTACTTTTAAATAAAAAAAGGAATTAGTTTGATAGAATCAGGGAACCATTTAGAGAATCTATGTAGAGAGGAGCAAAATACAAAAGACATAGTAGAAGGACTATTGGTAGAGGCCCTGGAAGAATGAATCCTGTATTTAATGGAGATGCAATGTCTGTGAAACAATGGGCAAATGATTGTCCACATGCTAACAAAGATATTAATATGGCAAAAAATATCAATATAGAGAAACATTCAGAAGAGACAGTTCATATGACTTTGATTACAGAATCTAAACTGTTGGACAAAATACCAGTTTGTGGTAATGAATAGTTGTATTCCATGCTCGATTCACTATCTTTTGAAGAGGTAAAGTCTGTCAAAAATCAGAAAATTCATGTACCATTTAAATTTGGAGATAGAAGAAAGTTAACTCATATCAAACTGTTGCTTTCCCAGCAAAAATTGGTAATCGTTTATATAATATAAAAAAAGAAGTTGTAGAGTGTAAAATTCCACTGCTGTTAAGGAATCTCTAACTAAGGCAGGAGTGGTTATTGACATTGGAAAAGCTCATGTAATGATGTTTGGTCAGAAAGTAAATATTCAAACTACCACATCAATGGGACACTATTGTGTGAACATTATGAGAAGTGATAAGGAAAACTACACTCTGCTACCATTGATAAGAGTCCAGGTCTAGTTTCAAATGTCAGTAGTTCTTCTAGGCAAGTAAATTTCAAGTGACAAGAGAGAAATCAGAGCAGTTTAAATAATATCTAATGGCCCAATCCAACCTGTGCAGGTGGGGAATACAAGTCTATGCTCCTGCTGCTGCCACTACTGGTAGGAACAGTCCATTAAGTTAAGGAGAGGGGGATAACTGGTTATACTAGTTACAATAAACAATAGTTAACAAAAGTCAAAAGTTTTAAAGATTTTTCTTGCTTTGTGGTTATGGAGCATTTTTTTACATCTTTTTTAAAACAAATATTTAAAATAATGATACATTATGTTTTATCATGACATGAAATACTGAATGATAGTGGGGCTATAAAAACAATAAGTATAACTCTTATCTAAGAAGATTTAGTGACTTAAACTACTCCTGTATAATGACTATTGGGTATAATTTTACCCAGATTTGGTCTTCTCTTGGTGCTAGGAGTTTCACTGTGCAAGTCGATCTTCCACACCCACATTGTGTTTAGTTTTTAAAATGAGAAAGAAGGAAATGACTTTCAGAACAGATAACCAATTCTTACTTGTAGAACCAATAACATACAAGATTACAGTTATCAGTTCAGCACTTCTGCAGTGTTGTGATCTACCTAGCTATAGCTAGTTGGTGACAGTAGTAGGTGGTGACATTAATCAAAACATATCACCGCAAAACCAACAACAATGCCCCAGACTAGGGACTGATAGTCAATTCAATAATTCAGTCATGGAACTTTTGATTTCAGGCTTGCAAACTGTTGTATTCATATGGAGATCTCCACTGTATAAATAGCTGTTGATACAGCTGGAGGCTAAACTAATCCTAACCTTGGAAACAAAAGTACTAGAGAAATAGTAGTGAATACTTTTAACTAATTATAGTTTACAACATTCTATTCAATACTATTTTTCATTCTGATATCAACATGGTCAGGGTACTAAAATCAAAAATTCTGGATCTATATAGTAAAACCCCAGGGTAGATAAAATATGGAATCATTGGGACCAAACATTTTCAAAATTCCTGAAGCATAATGAAAGTGAGTGGTTGGGTATTCTTATAAATTACATGTCATCTGATGTATACAAATTGTTCAGTGAATGTACAAACTTTGAAGAAGCTATTAACATTTTAAAGAGAGCTTTCATCCAAGAATAAAGTGAGATATACATCAGGCATGTACTTGCAATCAGGACTCGATAGGCTGGAGAAACCTTGGATCAATATCTTCAAACATTGCATGTTCTGGTGAAGGACTGTAAATTCAAAGATGTTACCGCTCAAGTTT